ATAACTACAATTGGTATAACATATTATATTTTCCAACTCTTCCTTTTGTCACAACCATAACGAAGTAAAAAGTCATCAATCATATTATTTATTTATTTTGCTTATATACTCCTGCTGAATTTTCAATGTGATTCAGTTTCTGTGTTATAATTGTTTTCACTATCCATTCATTTCTTGTGGAAATATTGCACACATTGTACTTGGTATTCCTCTATTATTACCAGTCAAGTTGCAACACTTAAACAATAATTATTGTTTAAACAAATAAATCCCACTATTTACACAATGTTAACAACCTTCGTTAGCAATGTACCTAATCAATGTAGAAATATAGTTTATCTCTTAATTTATAGTATTAATTTGTAATTAATTGTATTGTTGTAACCGCCATGTCAATATGTAAAATTGTACAAGTTCCTTCTACTACTAAGGACAATGCTCCTAGATTTAATGGTATTTTAAATATCACATAGTAAGATCAGTATTTAAAGTTCTAAAATAGATTTTAAAGTGTAATCGATTTGTGATTTATATAGTTTAAAATATGTTTTCTTCCTATACATTCTGTATAAATAATAAATTAAACTTTTGATAAGATGTTTTGTATGAACATTTCATTTCATCCCTTTAAATGACAGTATATAGTGATAATTTTTTTGCAAACATATTAATATAATTTTATTTTAATAAAAATACTGCAATTGCAGAACTACTCCTAATAGTCTGTCAATGAAGGGGTCTTGTGCGTGGACAGAACCATTGATCATATACAATATACAATCACCGTGCGCACGGCTGAACGGGCTCGGGACTGCGGCGGCACTCTCCTGAGCCCGTTCAGCCGTGCGCACGGTGATAGTTTTATTTAAATGTTTTCGTCTTCATCAGTGTCGTGTTTTTATGTTTACGTGGTCAGACTATGTTTTTTCAATGTAAAATATTTTACGCGGTTGTTACACCAACAATGCAACTAAGTATGGAATAAGATGTTACCCCCCCCTACTAAAGAAGAAATAAAAGAAGCATTGAGACGAATGAAAAACTGGAAAGCTCCAGGAATTGACAATATCCCCCCTAATATCCTCAAGGCAAATCCAGACATGTTATGCTCCTTTTTAGAACCCCTATTAAAGAAGATCTGGGAAAGGGAAACAATACCAGAAGAATGGAATCAAGGAGTACTCATAAAGCTTCCAAAGAAAGGAGATCTGACAGACTGCAATAACTGGAGGGGAATCACACTGTTGCCAACCTGCAGTAAAATTCTTTCAAGAATAATTCTCAACAGAATTCGGAAACCCGTTGAAGAAGTCCTTCGTGAAGAACAAGCAGGATTCAGGGAATCTCGATCGACAACAGACCACATCAACACTTTGAGAATAATCATTGAACAGTTTGTGGAGTATCAAGCTTCATTATATATAGTTTTCGTAGATTTTGAAAAGGCCTTCGATTCTGTCAGTAGGAGGAAGATGTGGGCTGCAATGGAAGCTTTTGGAATTCCTCACAAAATCATAAGGCTCACACAAAAGATGTATGATGGATACATTTGCCAGGTGGAACACGCTGGGAGCCTCTCAGAACCAATCTCAGTGGAGTCTGGAGTAAAGCAGGGGTGCCTCTTGTCACCAATATTGTTTATAATGACGCTTGATTGCATGCTTCGGAAGGCAACAAATAGAAACCGAGGCATAAGGTGGGGGTTGCATGGCCGCCTAGAAGAACTGGATTTTGCAGACGACTTATGTCTCCTTGCAGAAAGCTTCCGTGACATTGAAATGAAACTAAATGATCTCCGTGTAGAAGCTTCAGATGTTGGGCTTAAAATAAATGGAAGGAAGACTATGGAAATGCGTATAAATGCACGTAACAATCAAGTCTTGCAGCTACACAACAAAGACATTGAGAGCGTAACTGAGTTTTGTTACCTTGGTAGCATGGTAGGACTGGATGGAGGAACAGACCTAGATATCAAAAGCAGAATTAGGAAGGCCAAGGGAGCGTTTGCCCAACTACGCCCTGTGTGGACATCAAGGCAGATTCTGCAGAAGACAAAATTAAGACTGTTCAACTCCAATGTCATGTCTGTCTTGCTATATGGCTGTGAGACCTGGAAGATTAACAACACAGAAGTGCAAAGCCTACAAGCATATGTCAATAGGTGCCTGCGGTACATTTTGAAAATCTGGTGGCCTAATGTGATAAGAAACGAAGATCTTTGGATGATAACCAAGCAAGAACCAATCAAAAAGATTATCACCAGAAGAAGGTGGAGATGGATTGGCCATACGTTGAGAAGGCCGCAGAGCTGTATAGCAAGACAGGCACTAGACTGGAATCCGCAGGGAAACAGAAAGCGGGGCAGGCCAAAAACAACATGGAGGAGAACCATAGAAAGAGACCTAGCAAGAAGACAGCTGACATGGAGACAGGCCAAGGCACTTGCTGAGGATCGAGACGGGTGGCGAGATTTCGTCGAGGCCCTATGTTCCACCTAGGAACTCACGGAAATAAGTCAAGTAAGTCATGGAATAACCTAGTGCAACAGCGGAGCAGAAGATGACCTAAAGGTCGAAACGTGCGTCCTCCATAAATATAACTGGATTGATTGACGTAAGTTGTAATTATTAATTTAAACATCAATCCGTTTGCTACAAATCAATCATGATACTAAATTAGTATTGCAGCCTGTGATAAATGTTAAGTATTCTTAAGATGATGGCTTGAAAAGGTAGTTTTGAAAACCAAAATCATTTAAAGCTATGGTTCCACAGGATGCGGAATCTCCGCCGTGCGGTGCGATTTTTTCCGCTGGGGAATTAAAACGACACTGGTTTAATGGAGTTCCCATGTGTGTGGTTCCACTGACTTGCGATTCCGCATCCCGAATTTTCGGTTCCGCATGGCGGAGAAATCGTACTGGTCTGAGAGCAGTAGCAGTGCGGATTCCGCCAGCGGAGAAGAGCCATCAAATATTGCGACCGTGCAGTTTCATTATGTCTTATGCTGTAAAAAGAGTTATAGATGAACGATTATAAAGTAACACCTATAATCGCAACAAACAACCGATTTTCAACAAACTAACTGTTAAAATAAATTATTATAATACATTTAACATAAACTGTCGAAAATGGTAGACCTGACGAACAATTATCCTGAGATGTTTGGGTATCAAGTGTTAAACGGGATCTCGTGATTGAAACACCTTAAGTTTTGTTAAATAAATAGCAAAAATAGGCCCCTTCACTGTCTCGATTCTTAAATATGTCACTTCGATCACTGTGACTTGACACTAACAAAGATAAAAGATCGACAACATCATCATCAATGTCATCATATAGCATCAAAGCCAAAAGGGCTTTCCTCTTTCTATCCATACTCGTCGCTAGTTTGGACAGAACTGAATCTCCGCAATGTTATTTTCGCAGTCTGTAGAACCACCCCTCTAGATTTTTCGCTGCGTAATTTTCCGCTGCGAAAAATTACGCACCGCATGGCGGAGATTCCGCATCCTGTGGAACCATAGCTTAATCTGTTCAATTAAAATATTCTCCAACTGGGTATATAAAGCTCAAGAAAAGCATTGAATTTTTAAAACTTAACTGACACAGAGAAACCAAGTAGACAGCGCAATAAACTATGTACGATTAATTGTGAGGCACCGTAAGCTCAATTGAGTGAAATCTCCCATGTCAATTTAAATTTAACTACCAAATTAAACTACTATTTCATCCTTAACTGACTTGGTACTGATTACACAAGGGGAAGATCTGCTTTGGATAGGCCCTACACCAGACTAACAACAGTACAGCAAAGTTTTGCTAGTATATCAGTAAAAATAGTAAATTGTTTTGCAAGTGAAATACTTGACATTCCTTGTACTCGGCTAAAACAAAAGTTGATGGTTTGGCTTGCTGACCAACCTTTTTACAGTTTAGATGAATTTTTTGCAGAATACAATTGTAATGGTAAAATTGTTATCTAGTTCTTACTTAGTCCCTAGTCAACTGTTACCTAGTCTTTCAAACACTTGTTTAAGTAGGTACCTCACTTTTGTTTCATATATATAGTTCTGTGTTTTTCAAATGATTTTAGCTTTATTTTCTTGTTGTCTTTGTTATATTTAAGTTTAATGAAGATTCCATGTTATAGGTCTATTGTAACATATGTTATTTAATGACCAATAAAGATTTATGATTTATGATTTATGATACTTTTCTACCATGATTAAATAAAGAAATTAATTACACAAATGATTAAACCCAATTATAAAATCCATTTATATAGTTTTATTACATCAGTTTATACGACAATTTCATTAGAAACCAAGTCTTTGTCTGCTAGCAGTTGACAGGAGGATTTAATGAAAACTTAACTATAGAAAAAAAGAGCACTAAAGTGTTTTGGAGTGGTTTGAGATGAACAGTGTTGATTCCTATCATATCAAAAAAATAATAAGGGTTTGGACGGCAGCCCATAAAATCGTTTGCGTTTGTGATATTTTATTCACAACGCCACTGGTGTGATCAATAAAATAACTTAGCTTAAAGCAAAATGAATCTGTTGCCGATTTGATTATCACGTCATATTTTCAAACTCCCGGCAGGGACCTGGCCGATGTTGGGTCCTAGCACCTTAATGTCTGTTTAAATATTGAACAGTTTACTACACTTTATATATCTTGTCAAGTTAAATGGTCATGTAGCTTTTGTTTTGAAAGAGATTTAATTACCAGTCTGTTATTAAAGTTACACATCGGTAGTTTTTTAAGGCCAAACATGGATCATTAGACTTATTAAAAAATCCTGGCTAAAAACAGCTGGTCTTGGTCAGCAACAAAGCCGTAAGGGTCGTCTTGTACACTTATATCCACCCAAGTGTGATCAGTGTCTTTAAAAAGTTACTAACAGATCGTTTTACAAACACATTGTAAAACTTTATTAACTGTGATGCCAGTTCAGAAATATTGTTCAAAGGATTTTGATTAAAACAAATCAAGATTAACATTTCTCTTTTATTTATAACACGACTTTAATAAAAATAAGATAGCATAATAAATTCTTTCATAGTGACTAAACTAAAAGTAACATTAATTTGCATATTCATATACACTAACAGTTCAACGTATCTACAAAAAAGCTTACACTGTACACTTGTAATTCGGATGTAGCATCATTATGGTTTGAGGAAAAGGGATTTAAAGTTATATAAAGTTCTATAAAGTTTTACCAAGTTAAATATGTTATTTCTAAATAGAATACGAGGCATATACACTTAAAATAAATATTTTTTTTTGGAAGATCAGCTTTTGAGATTTTAAGTCCTATTAATAACTCGGATACTATTTTCAATCAAATGAAAACGATATCAAAATATCTCTATTTAATAAATTTTTACAATATAAAATATTGAATTGGCTCACACAAAATTGCAAACAGATGGGAACATTCGGATTGCCCCTGTCCTGAGTAATAAAAATTTTAAACTCATGGGGGGATTGGAAACTTTTATCTTTAAATATAACTATTTGCATTACAAATATGTACGTTACTCAGTTGAAATGAAAAGGCATCACCATACAAAACAATATGACAAGCAATAAAAACGTTCTGTTTTTTTTTAATGTAGCATTTTAAATAGATTACAATAGGTATTAATTTCTTCGCATTCACCAAAATATAGTATAGTGAATATTCTCTGAACATTTTTGTCATTCCTAAAATCTTTGAAATTTTTATTATTAGATGCATCAAGCCAATGTTGTTTGACACCCTAGTTAATTCCTACTGTTAATAATACTTAATAAATTACTTAATAAAACACCCTACATTGAGTCCCTGGGATTGATTTACAGAGAGTAAACTAAAAAGAATAAATATTATAGAATTAAATAATGATGGTTTAAATAATTTTAAATAAAAATAACATGATAATAAGGTACATATATATAATATTATGATTTGTAAGTTACACTTGTCACTTGATAGAAGTAGTATGATCATTTCAAAATAACTTTTAAATTATCTATTTATTTAATACTAATATAAAAACGATGTAGTAAAGGTCAAGTTTATAACTGCAAAATTTATTTAACACCAGAAAACATTAGCATAAAAAGCTTAGAACCATAAAAGTCATAAAAACCATGTAAAAAGAAAATATTGTGATCTAATTAATTCCAAAATCATGTAACAATCGTATCTTTGTATATCACAGTTGTACATCCTGCATCTAGCCAAAGTTAAAAGAGAGTATTATAAATTCTCTACTACCTTAACTCATTACAACAACCCTTATACTATATCCAGTTACAATACAAAAGACCTTAATAAATTACAAAGGCAAACAGCTTTAAGGTATTCAATCACAGAAAAAAATTTAATTGAACAAAGATAAAACAAAATTATAGTTGTGGTAACATTATGGCCTGAAAAAGACCAGTAAACAAACAACGTAAAAAGTAAACAAATTGCAAAATGAGTACGTGAAAAAACTCAAAACTGATCTTGGTTAATACAAAGAATTGATCGCTATAAAGAAAATGTTTACAAATTACTGCGAGAACAACAACAAAATAAAGTATATGCAACAACATTTAAACAAACTTGAATCTTTAAAGGAAATTAAAACTAAAAAAGTAAGAATATTGACGAGGTAACTGAATGAAGGTTTAGCGTGCCAGTTGGGTGATAAGAGCAGCACACATCTCAAAAAAGAACATGATGTTATGTCCCGGGCACATTTGCTGTATCTTGTCAGGGTCTGGAAAACACAATATAAATTAACCTGCGAATAGAGGAGTTAGGGTGGGTGGAATAGGGTCTATGGTGGAGAGCCTAGAGATTCAATTAAGGGGAAGAGAGGGGGAATAGTTATTTGTGCAACTAGTGAGAAAAGTGAGCAATTGACTCACTCGAGAGAAATCCTTACTCACGAGCCGTAGGCGAGTGAGGAATGGTTTCTCGAGTGAGGCAATTGTACTTTGAACTCGAGTTGCACATTATACTTTTCCTACAGTTACCATAAAACAAATAAATTGGTGAAGAAACATAACCTATTTTTACACAGAAGTGAACTTTTAATAAAACATTTAATGTGAAGTGACAAATACAACAGTACAACAGCTGACCAGCTGATTTACAGCCAGTGCTGCCAACGTATTTCGCGCGCATACGACGTTGCCTGCATGTTACGCGCTCACTATTTCGTGCCTTCACGTTGCAAATCTGGAGTGAGACAAAGTAATTAGAGTGAGACAATGTTAACATTGTCTCACTGATGAGCGAATTGGCCACTTTGCTTTCTCAAATCAGTGAGAGAACATGTACATTGTTAGGTAACTGTAGGAAAAAGCATTATTTCTCCTATTTTGATTAAAACAAGTGAGAAAAAGTCTATAGACCATTCATAGTCACATCAACTATAGTTTGGTGGTGTGGGGACATAGCCACACAACCCAGAGTGAGCTGCTGCTTGAGAAGAAGACTAAGACAATCATTGCATCCTCTGGCACCTTAATTAGTGTAGACAAAATAATAGACACAATCTATCCAACCTATGATGGTCAAGGATGAAATAATCAAGTATTCTAAGTATATCATCTATTGGACACTAACTTAACAGCTAATATGAAATGTTGATGATAGTTCCAATACCTTGAAAAGATAAGGCTGCTGAATCTTCTTCATTACTGAGACTTTTGAAGTCAAGTAAGTAACTCTTGTAGTCCACCTGATAAAGCTGAAGAGACATCTTGGTATACTCAGAATCTGCAGTCTTGCGATGGCGCACACGGACGTGGTAAGGATTTACAACTTTCCATTCCTGAAAATATCAACCAATTTAATGCCAAAGCCAAACATCAAAGTAGGTATTTTACCTACAACAGTTTTTTTTAAAAGTAGCCCGTTTCAGTGCAGTCCTTAGGATTGAAAAGTTTCACATAACAGCATTGTTTACTTCCATAACAGCATAGTTTTACTCATAACAACACGGGTAACGGACCAATGAGGTTCAAGGATTGAGAAAGAACAAGTAAAATTGTAATGATTCGAACTTCAACTAATTAGCTGTTCAGGCCAATTTAATTGTGTTTGGTACAATGTTTCGTTGCATCACTGTCAGTGGAAATGAGATGTTATAAACAAAAACATAACCTCTCTTAGAAGTTATGAGTAGTGATTTTTAGTAATTAATTTTTAGTAACACTGTTGAAGGTAAAGTCGTGTACGCAAATCGCGTAAATAGTGTTAACGACACTCGTAGAAGTTTTTAAGGCACTCGCCAAGGCTCGTACCTTAAATTTTCTACTTGTGTTGTTGTTGTTAACACTATCTTTAGACAATCGTTGCGTAAACTACTATATTCTATTGTTTATGTGCTATAGACATTGCTAATATCACCAAAACATTTTCTTATTTTTATAAACTGTCCATAGCTTTCCAGTGCCTTGTAGTTTTAATTCCCAAGTCTCTATAGACAAAAAGCAATCCGTCAAACATTGGAAAATAGTGACAGAAGTTTTGTATGCATTGCATCAATCCCATCTTCGGAGCAAACTACAATTCAAGATGAATTGCTGCAATGCATCAGAAACGTCTCCCATTTTCTTTGTCAATCCATCGTTTAGCTCATTCATTAGCTTATTCAACGCGTTCATCTCTTGATTCCACAGTCTACTTTGACCTGGGAAGACTGCCCTTAAGAGTCCTTGGAACCTAGACGTTCTAACTCATAAAACAATTTAAAAACTAAAAAAAGAATACTTCCAAACCTCACAGTACACTAGATATTTATATTGCAATCACTTTATTTATTTTCATCCTAAGAGTGTTGTCCATAAATTAAGGTCTCTATCGTGCTCCCATTGCAGCCACGCCAGCTAGTTCAAATCTGAGACCAATGTCGTGGTCCTTACTTCATCCACTACTATTCTAGCCGATTCCCACCTCTATGACAGGATTAGTCCTTCCTATCATAGTATTCAAAACGCTGAGAGAGAAAATCAAATTTTCTCTAGTCTCCTCAACATCACAATTCAAAACATCTAGTTACAAGTTGGAAGCTTGAATTCTTTAATCCACCCAGCAGCCAAAATCCTCACTATCTTCATAGTGCCCAGCTTGCCGGGCAAGGCCCTATCTTGTGATCGAATGTTGCCAGGGAGTTAATAGGCTATATATAGCTCTGCAAGAGGTTTATATCACACATTTCCTCACTCAATAGCTAACTCTCATTATACACTAATTTACCACCAAACACAATAGTATTATAGGCCTATCATGTTATGGTTACAACCTAGGTTAGCTGGCTAACCTATAACCTTGGTTAGGGATCCTAGGCTATGCCTATGTTCACGCCAGGGATAGGCTATTAATGGTCTTGGTTTACCCTTCCTCAAAATAGGAGCCACACAACTTAAAAAAAATTACTGAATAGTACAAATTTACTTAAAAGGACTAATTTTACAATTATTATAGCCTACTGAAAAATATTAGAGATGTGTCAAACCCCATAATCGCAAAAAAATTAAGGACATATCCCGCACTCGTGAAGATGTCATTGTCATATTTCGCAAGAGCAGCAAAGTCCTGAGCATTTCCCGTGTCGTTTAGTTATCAGTATTATCTTCCACAATCACGGCAAAATCTTTACCATATTATCCTGTGGTTGCAAAGCATCATGATCGTCAACCGCCATCACAGAAACTATCGTCATCTGCAATCGCGATAAAGGTGTGAATTTTTAGATGCCTGGATCCTTGCAGACAGGTTCTGAGATCATGATTACATTGTGATTGTGAAATCTTGAATCGAGCTCGAAAACTTAAGCCGCTCGCACACTTCTACTGCTAATACAAATCATGCAGTTTTTTATCAAAATTATGTGTTATTTTCTTAGGTACTTACTATTGTAGCAACGGAAAAATTAATAGCTCCACTTTGTACAACCATCAAGTTTAGTGTAGCTTCAAACCGGTCATTAATATTGGACAAAATTATGATATATAAAAATTATCTTAACTTTTTTCTTATGGGGCTGGGGTATCATCACCCCTTACTACCTCAACCTAAAAGATCTTTTGTAGCACCCTTTTAGCTTAGTCACCCAACTGAAGTCTTCTTGCGAAGCTGCTCAGTTGGTGCACACCCATTTCTTGTATTTCAGTACCATCGGGAATGCCTTTCCTAGGTGTTTCAACCTCTTCTGGGCTATCGCCGGACATTCCAGACATATGTGCTCAGCGGATTCTGTTTCGTAGAGGCAGAATCTGCACTGGTCCGTCTGTCCCTATTGTCTTGAGGTACTTCCTTACATAGCCATGCCCTGTAAGTAGACCTATCAAGAGGCTTATTTCCCCTTTTTGGAGGTCGAAGATGTTTCTACATTCCATACTAAGAGGATTGATGAGCATCTTTGATTATCTTAGCTTACTAACCTTAATATTAATTTATTAAGTACTTGAAAGTCTAACATTCTGAATCCGAAAATATTCAAACCCGAAACCTCGCAATATCTAATCCAACTCGATGTGAGCCTTGACTCTCCGATCCAAACTGAAATATCACTATCCACACACCTCTGAAAGGTACCATCATAAATTACATTAGTAAGAATAAAAAAAAAAAAACTAATTTCTAAGCAGTAAAAGTTTACTTACAAAATTCAAGGCTTTCATGGCTCGATAAACTTCATTCATGATATCATTGGGCTTGCTTTGCGAGCGGATGCCTGGAAAGAACAGGAAGTAGGCTTAAAATAAAACACTGGTAATTATCATAAGTCTGAAATAGATGGCTGAAGGATTAAATTTACAGTAAACAAGTTTCATTACTCATATTTCCTCATTTTTTCAGGTATGTGTGGATTTTTGGGTGACAAACACAAATGGAGATTATGGTATTGATTTTATTTCAAAATAAATTAGTTGTAAAATGTATTCGATGCAGACATAAAATTATGTAAAACCACACCAAAATCTCGGCATCTACATAATGAGTTAATTATCCAGGGGTGAACCCTGGATTTGAATCGAGCTACTATCAATATAGTTATGTCAGTCCAATAAAGCACTGTAGCCCTTATGAAGTGTATGGCTGCAGCGGCACGGTTCACTATTAGGTGATCGGAACACAAGTCTAGTTCTGAGTATTACAGCGTGCAATCCATTTGAATTATAGAGATCGATAGGGTCTACTTAATACTTATAAAGTGAGAAGGGAAGCTACTTACACACAACACTTACAAGAATAATTCTAGGATTGTGACAGGCCTGGTCATTAATACCACTGGAGGAACAAGTTTGAATGGGAATAGTAGAATGAATGGGAATAGTTTGAATGTACAGGTGAAGAGGAAAGCAGATTTTAAATGCATGTTTTTGGAATTGTAGTCACACTTTACTGGTCTATAAAGTATATCTTCACTTGAAGTTGAGCAGTACATCATTTGCTTGGGTTCGATAAGTATCAATACTAAATACTTAATACTAAATAGCCTCAACCTAAATACTTGTGGCTTTTGCCCATAAACTCAAATGACAAACAAACACAAACAGCAAAACTTAAACAATGCTAAGTTGCAAAAACCATCAACAAGCAACAGCTAGTGGGGCAAGTATCTAGCGATGGGCAAAAAATGCCATCTATAATCTTAAGTGTTTATCAGACCAGGAACCAGGATCTAGTCAGTGCTCTAGGAACAGGAATCGATTGATATTGAAGATTTGGTGCCAAACTCAGTGACACAGTCTACAAGTCGTAATAACAGTGACAAATATGAAAATGCAACTTTACAAATGACTACACTATCTTCTAATGGTGCTAGCTGGATAGGCGCAGTGCACGAAAATATACTAGCTAATGTGTATTAAGGGTTAACTACAAAATACAAATGTTACCTAAGTGCCATTTGGCACGCTTGACTGGAGTTCCTCGGTTCGGTCTTGGATCTCCACCACTCATCTGACTCATGGCACGCTCTCTCAGAGCTGGAACAAATAAAGGTCTTGTTATTGATAGGTTATTGGTTGTTTGTAAAATAAAATTGGCATCTCACTATTAGTCCTGTTTCCAAATACTACAAGCAAAAAACCTTGTACAGTAGAGTCCCGCAAACTCGGCGTAATGTGGACTGGAAGGGTGCCGAGTTTGTGAAATGCCGGGTTATCGGGAACTAGGGTTAAAAATAAGAACAATACAATTTTTATTCCTTTTAGCTGCCTTATTAATTTATATTTATATTACAAGTCAGTATGAAGTCATTAGATATAGTACAACAAATCCTTGATACGAGTTGCGAATGATTTAACTTGAGCCCAAGTTTAACTCGGACTCAAAAAATCACTAATTTTCTGAGCCAGGTGATGGCCGAGTTATCCAGACTGCCGGGTTATCGAGTGCCGAGTTTGCGGGACTCTACTGTATCACAATGTTCTAGACAAACAATTACATAGTTTAAGGTCAAAATGTGTTGTTTAAAATTTTCTCTGTAACTTTTTAAGTGGATGGATATGTTTTTTGAAAAATTAATTTTTGTCACCATGTGAAAATCAAAAAGTTGTAAGCAACGTGCATAAATAAGCCACACATTGAGCAAAACACGTTTAAAATTCTAAGTATTTTATTTTTAATTTTATTGAAATGTTTGATACTACTAAAATACTGTTAGATATACAAATATTTGTTACTGTAAAATTTTCAATATCTTAAGATAACTATAATTTGAATTAGATCAGTTTTTACCAAGAACCTTTTATCATTGACTATACACAGAATAGACTTTCCATGTAATGTAAAAATTTGAAGTAAAAAAAAAAAACGTGGTTGAGATGGTCACCAACTAAACAATATTCTGTGTTAAGAGATAAATCAATCAGCTGTTTGCTATGATACTGCATTGGTTTGAAATAATATTCAACCCAATACACTAGTAAACTCCGGTGAGATGGTCCTGAACTTCATCTATTTTTTTTGGCTTCAAACTTTCATATCACATGGGAAGTATATTCTGTATAAAGTCAATGCTTTTATTTAATATATATTTGTGTGATTAAAATTATTCAAAAAAAATATTAAGTAAAATTAATAATTATTTGATTTCGATTCTCTACTCAACTCAATGAAATTTAATGAAGATATTTTGAGGAATTTGGTGACTTAAGCAGTAAAGTAAAACAGATTAGCGAACTTCAAAATGACCAAACTCGCATATTATGCTGGATCAAAATTATTGTGAAACATATTTTTTTAACTCTCTATATTATAATAATTTGAAAACTGAACAGTTAAAAAATGTCTGAAAAAGGCAGAACATCTTTAAATTAATGAGTTAGAAGAACAGAGTTTGGTCAAAGAAAAAAGCGTATTGTTTGACAACCACAAACCTGAATTTTACTTCAACAATGTTATGTTCTGTAAGTATTTTGAACCTGACGATTTTGAGCTTTATACTTACTTGTGATTACTATCAGAAAAAAAAACAAACATTTCAATTGCAGCTTTTAGTTTGGACGATTTTTGGCAACAAAATATGTTTTAAATCAACAAATCCATTTCTAACATCCAAACTACTTTGAACTATATCCTATGATCCTCAGTTGATAACCATAACTAGATGGTCAATAAATGTAACTAAAAAATGCACTTTTGTAGCAAACCAAGCATATGCTGTATTAGTGATGGCACTAGTATTATGTGTTAAGTTAAGCGATTAAAAAAGCATATTAGAAGTTGAACTATACACTACTCTCTGTTTAAACAGGGTGTCTAGTTTATTTCCATTATAAAATTCAAGACTAATTCCAGACTTTTCAAGACTAATTCCAAATTTTTCAAGACTAGTTTTTCAACAATTAGTGCGTGTTGATACCAAAATGTATCGATTCTCGATTCTTGATACCGATACCAATTTTTATAGCTTAACCAAATTTTCTATATAATACTACACCAACCCCTGTCTTTGTCATAAAGGAGTATTATGATAATGTGGTGTTTTCAAGTAAAAAAATAATGCAGCAATAAAAAATTCTAACTAGCAAATTTGGTTTGGCAAATTTAATTTTTTATCATGAAATCTTCCACGTACCGTACGTTTAGACATCATTATTGACTGCAGCGGTTACAGAAACGTGATCGTCGTCGTCCGCGATCACGGCAAAATCATGAATATTTTCCGCGGCCTTGTAGACATCAATGACATCATTGTCATCTCCCGCGGTCACGGAAATGTCATCGTCGTCGTCCGCGATCGCGACAATATCAAGAACATTTCCCGCGGCCGAGCAGATATCATCGTCGTCTCCCGCGGTCACGGAAACGTCATCGTCATCTCCCGCGGTCACGGAAACGTCATCGTCGTCGTCCGAGATAGCGGCCAAATCATGAACATTTCCTGCGGCTGTTTAGACATCACCGTCATCTCTCGTGGTCACGGAAACGTTATCGTCGTCTCCCGTGGTCACGGAAACATCATCACCGTCGTCCGCGATAGCGACAAAATAATGAAAATTCCTTGCGGCCGTGTAGACATCATCATTGACTCCCACGGCCACGGAAACGTCATCGTCGTCTCCCGCGGTCACGGAAACGTCATCGTCATCTCCTGCGGTCACGGGAACGTCATCGTTGACTCTCGTGGTCACGGAAACGTTATCGTCGACTCCCGCGGTCACGGTAACGTTATCGTCGTCCCCAGCGGTCACGGAAACGTTATCGTCGTCCCCAGCGGTCACGGAAACGTCATCGTCATCTCCTGCGGTCACGGGAACGTCATCGTTGACTCTCGTGGTCACGGAAACGTTATCGTCGACTCCCGCGGTCACGGTAACGTTATCGTCGTCCCCAGCGGTCACGGAAACGTTATCGTCGTCCCCAGCGGTCACGGAAACGTAATCGCCGTCGTCCGCGATCGCGATAAAATCATGAACAATTCCCGCGGCCGAGCAGATATCATCGTCGTCTCCCGCGGTCACGGAAACGTCATCGTTGTCCCCAGCGGTCACGGTAACGTTATCGTCGTCCCCAGCGGTCACGGAAACGTCATCGTCGTCTCCCGCGGTCACGGAAACGTCATCGTCATCTCCTGCGGTCACGGGAACGTCATCGTTGACTCTCGTGGTCACGGAAACGTTATCGTCGACTCCCGCGGTCACGGTAACGTTATCGTCGTCCCCAGCGGTCACGGAAACGTTATCGTCGTCCCCAGCGGTCACGGAAACGTAATCGTCGTCGTCCGCGATCGCGATAAAATCATGAACAATTCCCGCGGCCGAGCAGATATCATCGTCGTCTCCCGCGGTCACGGAAACGTCATCGTTGTCTCCCGCGGTCACGGAAACGTCATCATCATCTCCCGCGGTCACGGAAACGTCATCTTCGTCGTCCACTATCGCGGCAAAATCGTGAACATTTCCCGAGGCCGTGTAGACATCATCATCGGCTTTCGCGGTTACGTAAACGCAAGACGACGATCGCGGCAAAATCATGGAAATTCCCGACTTTGAAATCAAATTTAAGACTAAATCCCGACTTTTCAAGACCATTTTGAAATTCAATACTAATTCCCGACTTTCCCGATTTTCCCGACTACTAGACACCCTGTTTAAAAGTTATCGTTTAAAGCTAGTACTAACATATCTACCTCCTGTTTTAAAATGGTTTTATACATTAGGTTAGCATTTTAAACTACTTTAGGTTAAACATTTATTTTTGCCTAATAAGTTTAAAACAAGAAATAATGGTAAATAGATAAATAAGGAACTGTAGCCTATGAAGATTTTACTGCTCTTTTACTGAGCAAAAGGTTTTGTATCCGTACCAGTTTTTCTAAGATTATTTCAGCCTAAAGAGTTATCTTTGTTACAGTTTAGACAGCATTATAACTTGATTATTGGTATATGTCTTAATACTATAATACCCAGCATTGATCACCAGCCCGGTATTATTAAGCACCAGGTTTTATCTGTAGTTAAATAATTGCAATCAACACTACCTATTGAATCATTTCCCCCAGATAGGGAGAGAGCTCGTTCTCTGGAAACTGAAACATGACACAGCATTCACACAAAGACACGATACAATATCACTTGATTAGGAGTCTGTCGGGTCATTTATGGTGGTCAAAGGTGTTCCAATGTTTACATTTTTGGGCCGAGCTTTTATTTTCATGATACTGTCAGAAATATTATATCAATATTTACTGCTTTCCACCACAATCGTAGAAAGTGTCTTCAAATATTGCAGATTTCAAAATTCATTATTTAGCTGCAATCACAAGGAGACGTTCAAGATTGCATTGCGATCCTAGTAGATAATGAACAATATACCGATTGTAGGCTAGTATTACAATTAATATTTGATTAAATCAATACTTCCCAAACAAGAAAATTTTGGCCCAAGACACCATGATCAAAATATTTTACCCGACTTGACCCAAAGTAAAAAAGTCTGGCCCGCAGACCCCTATAAGACTAAAAATGCATGTTGCTTAGATTATACAAACTGTTTGGTGAATTTCTGCAAGAAACATTTCAAGAGATTTACAAAAATACATTATCTTATTCAGAAATGAGATTTCATCAAACAATAGTTTTATGGTTGAACAAATTTTGAGATTAAATTTATAACTAAAAAATACAGTGATAAGATATTAGTGAATGTAATTTAAATATTTAGGAATATTAAATATAATTTTAATTAGGAAGTTAAACCGTCCTCTCCTTTTTTTCTAGTTATTATAATTTGGAAAAGGAGCAATATTAAAATGAAAGTCAGAATTCACATCTAACCAATGTTTGTTATAAATTCACAGTTCACATTTCAAAGTTTGAATGGAGTCGGTGTTTACCTATTATTTATTACAGGAAATTATTGATTTTGTTGGTTTCAAGCGTTTAAACTTAACTACACATTTATATTTTTGTATAGAATAAAAACTCTTTCTCCATACTCTCTCTCATTTTCCTTTTCTTAGTTATAAGAAAATTCACCCCCACCCCTGGGTTTAATTGCCCTGTTACTTTTTTTAAGTTCCTAATTTAATGTCATAGTTTATCCTTTCATATTAAATATTTGGGTTAATAAGACTTCAGGCAAATTGAATTGTCAAATATTTCAACCGAGTAAGAAACAAGAAGAATGTTTACATCTTACTATGTTTTTCTGTGCGTTTCTTTCAATAATAAGCTCATGAACTACTGTTATTTTGATGTATTATCAAGCTAATCTATAAATTTTACCTACACGTTACCTAGTAAAAGATAATAATCTTTTAAAATTTATAACTGTAACAAGAAGTTATGACGTCTGTATTATATGACATGATCACTCAATGAATTAAATACTGCTGATGATTATTAATTGTTTATGGTTTATATTTTTCTAGTCAGATACTACAAAGTGTACAGGTTTAGAGATTTTAAATTTCACCTCCTTAAATTTTCAGTAAAAACAATACACCACAGAAGATATTATATTAACTTGAATAATCGTTCAGAGAACATTGATCTTGAACATATAGGTACTCAACATACGTGCAATTCTCTCTGGATGGGGCTTGATGGGGCTGGGGGCGAGCTCTGAAGGACTGAAGGACACAGGTGGAGGGCTGCTGGCTACGTAGAAATCCTTGAGTTCTGCCTTGGCCGCCTCATCAGCTATACGCTTGTTGTCAATCACCAGGTGATAAGCGATGCCCAGCTGGTCGTGAGGGTCTCCACTTAACAATGCGTTGTGCACTTCGTGTTCTTTCACACCAAACTTCTAAAAAAGAGTTTAACATTAACAGGATGTTACTTGACAACGGTGGAAGCTTTAATAGCAAAGGTCTCCAAGAATTAGTAGAAATATTTGAGTGCAGGTTATTGCTCAATAGCGAACCTAATTAAGTGTTGACATAAACAAATTGCAGTTGTTTCAAAATTAAAAGTTGAAATTAGTTTAAATTTAAAAAAAAATTTTGAGTAGAAATAATTCTAGTACTATTGTCATTGAAGTTAAAAATAGTAGCCTAGCTTGTGTTTTGGCAGCTGTTTGATTAAGTTAAATCTGTCTTAGAGAAGTGATTCCAGCAATTTCAAAAACTTATGACTCATTTTGAAAGTTATGCAACTTTCAAAAATGGCATTATCATTGAATCACAAGTGGTCAGCATCTACCAACTAATCAAAGGGATTGAAAACACCAGACAGTTAGCTGATCTATGCTATTAAAAAGTAAATAAATAATTCTACTATTTACAAAACTGTGCTTATTATAAGAATTGAGTTTAAGTTTGGTTTGACTTATATTTTTAAATTCTACAACTACACTAGATCTATTAAAAAATATTGTTCTTAGAGCACTTTGTGGTCCCGGATCAATGAAAAAAAAAAATGTTCATGGCTTTCCAGGCTCTTTGAAACATGGAACCAGTTTCTATTGAATTCTGGGAACGGGCCTTCTCTGGATGGCTCACCTAAAACAAAGCCAGTTGTCTATTCTAAGTAAAACAAACACATGCAAAGCACACAAACCATCTTAATGAACCAACAAAAAAAAATACAGAGAAGAAACAAATACAGCTAAAAATAAAGCATGCAATATCAGGGCCGCCCCGAGGGCGGGGCGAGCGGGGCGACCGCCCTGGGCGCCGCGGCTAGGGGGGCGCCGCGGCTTTGGTAGGTAAAAAATTTAACAACGTTATCGGCAAACAGCGAACGAATATTTTCCGGGAACTCGTAAACATGTAATCAATGACAATGACTATTTAAAAAAGACAATATTTAGCTTTCGTTTTCGTTTTATTCGTAAAATTAATACTGTTATTTAATATACAACTCGTACTATTACTAGGCCTACTTTTACGTCTGCCGTGTTGGCAATACTGCGAGTCCGAGACATACACACTGCGCATTCACCCACACGCACCTACACTTGCTCGTTTCTAACCTCAAATTTAGTTCAGTGTAGTTGAGTTAGTCTATGGTAGTTGTTACGTTACGATTAGCTCAGTGGTTGTGCAAACTTGAACTGTTAATAAAGACGTGGTTTTGACGATAAGTACAACATGTAACAGTGATATTTCCTTAGGCCTATAGTAGGATTACTACAAAGTGAATGACTGTTTTAAATAACGATGTCTAAAAAACTTTCTGGAGCGCAAAGACGCAAGTTAGTTCGAGAAGAGGAGGCTGCGACTGAAGCACTTCTGAAAAAAGTCCCAAAGCTTACATCCTATTTTGCTCCTTCCAGTTCTTCGGCGGTAATAATTAGTGAGCCTGAACATGTCTCAGTAAACGTGAGTACACCTAATGAAGTCCTTCCAGATTCAGTTTCGATTGAAGAAAATATTAATGAGAATGAAAAGTTGTCGATTTCATCTCCTAAAACCGTCAACGTAGGCCTAATCAATTCAGATCCATCCTCTTGGCCAGATATCATTAATAGAGATGAAAGAGACGAGTTAATTTTAAAAGGGCCTATACCGTTAAAGGCTGATAATGATTATCCAAAAAATGCCCAAAAGAGACATTTTTCGAATGAACACCAATTTCGATGTGCGGAAAATGGGGAAAAGGTAAAACGCAAATGGTTGGTGTATTCTGAAGGCACCAACTCAGTATACTGCTTCTGTTGCCGACTTTTCGAGCCTAATTCAAAGTCACAACTTGGTCAAAAGTCAGGTTTTAATGATTGGAAACACCTGGCAGAGCGACTTCGTTTACACGAAACCACACCAGAGCATTTAAAAACTATGACTATCTGGTTTGAAGCCGAGCTACGTCTAAAAAAATGTATTTCGGTGAATCATGCTCTATCGGACCAAATTAGGAGAGAGACAGAAAGATGGCAGGAAGTTTTTAAGCGCCTTGTCGCTATAATCTTATATTTGGCAGAACATAATATCGCTTTTCGAGGGTCATCTTCAAAGCTATTTACTAAGAATAACGGCAATTACTTAGGTCTGATCGAGCTGATAGGACAATTCGATGGTGTCATGTCAGATCACTTGCGAAGGGTAACTAGTGCCTCCTCCCAAGTGACTCTTCTAGGAAATAATATTCAAAACGAGCTAATTTGTCTTTTGGGATCTGAAGTAAAGAAGGCTACAATCAGAAAAATAAATAAATCCAAGTATTTTTCTGTAATCTTGGACAGCACTCCAGATATAACCCATAAAGACCAGATATCTCTCACAATCCGATATGTAACAGAACAAGATGGAATAAGTGGTGATGTGGCCGTTGAAGAAAGTTTTATTGGATATAAAGTGGCAAAAGAATCAACTGGAGAAGCTCTCTCAGAGCTGTTGTTCGCTGAAATTGAAAGTTGCCATTTAAACATGAATGACTGCCGAGGACAAGCTTATGACAACGGTGCTAATATGGCTGGTGTAAACAAAGGTGTCCAGGCTAGAGTCTTAAAAGAATATCCTCGTGCTTCGTTTACACCGTGTACCAGTCACAGTTTGAATCTGGTAATATCTGATGGTGCAAAGTCGTCTGTTAAGTCAACCTCACTGTTTGGAATAATTCAGAGGATCTACACTATATTTGCGGGATCGACAAAACGCTATTGTATAGTGAGTGAACACGTCCAATCACTAACTATTAAACAAGTTTGTGAAACTCGCTGGGAAGCGAGGATTTCTTCCATTCAGGCTATCAGGTACCAGTATGCTGACGTTAGACAAGCATTAATTGAACTTGCAGACAGTGTTGAAGACCCTAAAACAGCATCAGAAGCTCAGTCTCTGATATCGCATATGGAAGATTTTTCTTTCTTGACTTGTTTAATTGTTTGGCACGACCTTCTGTTTCAAGTTAATCTTGTAAGCAAAACATTACAAGGGAAAATGACTGATTTAACATCAGCCAAAAGGCTGCTTGATAATTGCCAAGCCTTCCTAGGGTCTTTTCGAGAATCAGGGCTTGTAGATGCAATCATTTGTGCTAAGGAGATTGCCGAAAGTATTGGAACTGAGCCCGTTTTCCCGAAAAAGCCTTTAAGGAAGAAAAAGAAACAGTTTTCTTATGAAGGGCCAGATGAAATTAACGGTACTCCACAGGAACTCTTTAATAGGGATGTATTTTTGCCCCTTGTTGATAGTGTAACCACATCTCTTACTGAACGTACTGAACAGCTGAAAAAGCACCATTCTTTATGGAGCTTTTTGTATGACCTTAGCAAGTTGCCAGAAAAAGAGGAGTTGAAGAAGTGTTGCCTGAAACTTCAAGAATTTCTTACATTTGATAACATTAGTGACATAAACGTAAATGACTTGTATAATGAAATTATCCACGTGAAAAGCATCGTTCATGATGAACATAAAACAAATGAAGCGTTATCTCCCATCAAGGTGCTAAAGAGTATTAAGTCACATGACCAAAAAGATCTATTTACAAACTTGTGGATTGCTCTAAGGATATTGCTGACCATCCCCCTAACTGTAGCAAGTGCTGAACGAAGTTTTAGCAAGTTAAAACTCATCAAGACGTATCTGCGATCCACTATGACGCAAGAAAAGCTGAATGCATTGGCAATTTTATCGATAGAAAATGAGGCGGCAAAACAGTTAGACTTTAAAGACATTTTAACCTCTTTTGCAAATGCCAAAGCTAGGAAAATTCCATTGGGTGTAAATTAATCTTGTATTATGGTTTCAAAGTTGTATCTACTGTATTGCCAAAAGATTTATCTACATAAGTTCTGTTTGTTATACTGTAATTTCAATATTATAATGATACGTTTTTGTAAATAAAGTGTTGTGTTTCTTAATAAATGGTATACATTTTTTTTTAAACAATTTCAAAGATTTTCGTCTCTAATGCTTTTTCATATACTTTTATGGCAAATTATGTTAGCAAAAGTTCGGCATTTTGTAAATAATAGAGTTATTTTTAAATGCTAACAGCGTGCATTTACTAACATTATTGTTTACATTGACCGTCTATGGACCCATTCCTATATTTAAACAAACTGAATACTGTATGTAAAGGATTTAAAAAATACATGGATAACGTTCGATATCGATGAACCCTCTATCGACGCAAACCCCCGAAATACCTTTGTTTAGGAGGGGCGAAAATTTAAATCTTGCCCCGGGCGTCTATAGCCCTCGGGGCGGCCCTGTGCAATATAAATTAGGATAAAAGGCATACTACTTAAAAATGCACATTCCAATAGAAAAAATAACACTATAAGTGCTATATAAATCTATTTTGAGTTATTTTGGTGTTAGTACATTTCAAAGTTTGCCATGCAAAGTTTTAAGAACCATCTTGAAACTAAATTCAGAAATGCTTGAATTTGGCAAAATCTTAAATGTTTGATAAAATAATTTCATAATTAATCTTAATAAACTTTTAAACGTGCAAACACTAATTGCTTTTAAAATTAGAAAAATGTATTAGAATTCACAAATTTGAAATACTTGGGAGACTTATGGCCTACATTTTGAAACCTAAATCTAAAACTTTCCCAAAACATCAACACAAGAACAGAATGCTATAACATTGGTTATTACATAACTAACAATGTAGTAATAGTATGCATACATCATGAAAGATCTGGAAAAACTGTTGATGTGATATTGGGAAAAAAACTGATTACATTGCTCAGCAACATAAAATAATGAGGAAACGTTTTAGTTAAAATCTAATCTTGAAACTAATTGAAAATGTAAAAAACAATGTGTGAAAAGAGTCAATCTTCATTGTACGAGTTGTAAGTAAGAAGAATTTTTATGAGTTCTTAAGCAGCCTGCTGATCTGTAAAAAGGT